GCGCACATGCACACCGGAGCTACCTCTACGCTGTCACCGAAGCAGCCTATTTCCGTTCTGCCTCTCTCTACCATGCAGACCCTCCCGCTTCCCTCTGTCTTCTTCCTCTCTCTCTCTCTCTCTCTCTCTCTCTCTCTCTCTCAGTGTCCTCCGCTCATTCTATCAATTCCTCTGTGTCTCTTTACGTATCTGCCTCTCTCTGTCTTTGCTTCTCTCTGCTCCCTCTTTCCCCTCTACTATTTGTCTCAGTCTCCTTGCCTGTCTGGTGTGAGAAGAGGGATTGCACACTGTTTCACAGGAAAAGACAGAGACAGAGAGAGGGAATGGTAGAGAAGGGTTGTGTGAGAGGAGAGGAGGGGAGGACAAACCTCAAGGGATATTGCGAGAGAGAAGGAAATGGGAGCGAGAAATTTACGAGGAGGAAGAGCAGAAAAAGAGAAGAGAAAGAGGAGACGGAGGCAAAGTGAGAGAGTGAGGGTGGGAGGAAAGGGGGTGAAAAAGAGAGAGAGAGGGATGAAGAGTGCAAGAGGTGAGAGGAGATAAGGGAGGGCTAGACTGATCCATCCCGCTTTGCTATTCAGCAGGCAACGTACGTATTTACTGCTTTACTCCTCTACATGCATGAGTCTGACAGGTGGTGTGTGTCTGCATGTGTGTGTCTGCATGTGTGTGTGTGTGTGTGTGTGTGTAATTATTCTGCTAGCGTGTGGGTCACGGACAAAGCCCCAAACATCTGCAGAAACACCGCCTTGCATATGTCAGCGCTGGCATTAACACGCTGCAGCAAACATGTTTTTGCTGTCGAGCCTGCTGATAAATCCATCACACAGATATACAACCAGGGGAGTGACGACAGTCCACCTCACACATGTACCCCTCTTTCAATCACTACACTTGCTGCCCTCTATTACACCCCGCGGGCTATACCGACGCCATCGACTGCAGCCCCTATTGAAATTCCTCACGTGGCTTGAGTTAAGAAAACAATTTACAGCCGAGCCATGGCTGTGGCTGAGCTGAGGCCATCAAGGCCAATGATAAAGCCATTAGGCCATGGCATTCATTAAAAGCTACTGGCTGCACACTGAGGATCAATACAGAGACAAATCAAGAGAGAGAAGGAGGAGGTGTAGAGTGGATGACAGAAAGAGAATTAAGAAGAGAAGAGAGGCAGAGAGAGGCAGGAAGAGAGGAAAAGGACCACTGAAGGGTAATGGTGAGAGACATTTTTTGGGTATGCAGGAGCTCACCCCAACACACACACACACACACCTCCTCCTTCTCCTATTCTCTCCAGACAGAGGCAGATCTGGCAGCAGCTTCCAATCAAAGTCAAACAATAACAAACACATTTCACACACAAGCACAGATGCACACATACAAACACCCACGAGTAAAGGTGGCAATACATCAACTGAGAGAAAACAGGTTTCCTTAAATACACACTACAGCGGCGACACACTGAAACGCTGATTAAATTGTGAGAGCTCGGCTGAACAGACGAGATAGGACTACGTGATTTGATGGAGTGATGATGTTTAACTTCAGTGTAGGGGTTACATACACATCTAGCAGTGCAGGGAAAGTGTTTGGTTGATCAAACACATTGGAAATCCACTGGATGAACTGAAAAACCCCAAAAATGGAAAAGGTGAAAAACAGGCTGTTGTCTCTGCAAAGTTGTCTGAAAGAAAAAACGTAGCAAAAAAAGAGGACAGAACTTTGGTCGGTTGTAATAAGTGGGATCTCTGCTTACAACGTAAAGATAGCAAACCCAAGAAAAGAAGGCATGAGTGGTGGCGTCACATGCAGTAACTGTTTTAGACACTACATGGGTAAAATGGACCCCGGGTATACCCGGGGAGGGAAAGAGCATTGGAAACAGACAACATCAGCTGTCTGTGAACATCAGACCAGAATAGGTCACAACATCAATTGGAAAGAGGTCATAGTCAGCGACCAGGAGTCAGAAGAAGGGAGAAAGATCAATGTTCATATTAATAGTCAGACAGACATGGTCTCTACAATCCCTCCAACCACCCCGATCGCTAATGCAGCTTCCTCCTTTGCTCCTGATGGACAAGAGTCATAATTCCTACAGTGCAGCCTCAGCAGGGCTTTGTTCCTTAAACCTAAAGACAGGCCACACATAAGGCTGTCAATTTTCTTTCTTTGTAATTTGGGACATATTTGAGTGAAAACAGAGAGAAAGTTTAGAGACTGCATATTTGTGTTGGCTTTCTTATTGATTTCCTGAAAAGGACTACTTTGTTTAATCCAAGGTAAATGTTTATTCTTCATTCGTTTATTGTTGGAAATATTACTCTTTGTATATGCTGAATCGTACGCTTGTCTGTATTATTTAGACATATTAATGTTAGCTTAGCAACTGGAATTAAGTGTGTCCTAACTGATCACTCTCTAGTTTACCTATAATTAATACCGAAGCTTCTTTCCTGGAAACACATGAAAAATTGTTTGGAAATGATCAGGAATGAACCGGTCAGTAAAATGTAGCGTTACATAAAGAAAGCGAGTAACCTTAGGAACTTTAGGTTTGTATATTGTATCACATATATCCAGACATCTTTACCAATATCTACTGTAATCACTTTCAAGGAATCTAATTCATAAGTCTTTGAGATAACCTGCTGATACACACACACACACACACACACACACACAGACAGACAAAGTAATTGAGGCATGAATGTCTAAGTGGTTTAAACAAGGAAACTAAAATAGCTCTGCAGTCCAATAACACTAAGCAGCAACAGGTTCATCACATTAGGCCAAGGGCCAAACTCTTCCAAGACATTAAGCCTGACATCATCTGTGCTGCTACACAGCCCTGTCCGAGGTGCTGTGGATCATTCTGAGTGCAAGCCCACCTCTCTCTCATCCTTTATTAACCATTACACAATGGACCGTTTACTAGATTGAGATGACTGCCTGAATGAATGGATGGAGGGTAAGGGAAGAAAAGGATGGAGTTAGACAGAACGGCAGAAAGCATTTGACAGCAGAGAAAGAAGGTGTTGACAAGCAGAGGAAATGTGGCGAGCAGGCAGTGAATAATAAATTGGCTGGTCAGTCGCTGCCCGGTCTTATCAGACAAAGGCTGGATGGAAACTGTGACAGTGATGACCACACAGAAGAGAGGAGATGAGAATAGAGGATCGGGAGGGCAGAAGGGAGGGAAGGAAAGAGGGAGCGAGCAAAGAAAGTGAGACAGGGGGAGCAATAATAATAAAACTACAGGAAGGATGGAGAAGAGAGTGAGACTATGAGAGTGGAGAATTTGAAGGGTAAGATAGATGGGAGGAGGTTAGGGAGGGAAATGGGAGAAGCGAATTAGAGGACAAAGTAGATGGAGGGGAGATCGGTGAGGAGGGAGGGGGTGGATGGAGTGAAGGAGCGAGTGGAGGCAATGACAGAAACAAGATGGCGGAACAGAGAGACGTACGAGGAGGGAAAACTGCACCTGGCTCAAACAAGCTCAGTGTCGTCTGAGTCATCAGAACAAACAGGTTGATTTATTGGAGTAAGGAGTGGAGGAGACAAGCTCAACCATCCTGACAGAATGAGGTGTCATGCTGCTGAGATCAACTGCTGCTACATTGACTACAAACTTAGTCCGAGCTGTGCAACAAGGCCTGACTGCAATAAATGTGCAGCGAGTGAGATAACACTGCCAAAGCTATTTTTACAAATGCTGACACAAATCATCTTTACATTAAAGGATTAAGTCAAACGCAAAATAAATCGCTGATTCCAGCTTCTTAAAATTGCAGATTTCTCAGTATTCTATGATTGTAAAATGATTATCTGTGGTATTTGGACTGTAATCTATAATCTCTATTATTATATAGACAATGAAGACCACAAGACCTCACCACTGACAAATCACAGCACTGGAAAAAAAAAACATCATTCCTCCAAGATCCTGCCACGGATACAAGAGCTTAGGGCGTGGTTACCTTGTGATTGACATGTCTCTACCACAGAGCTGTCCAGTCTGGGAGGTGTCCGTGTTTACAACTTACAACTTTAGCCCTTCCACTATGTGACATTTTGGTCACCTAAAAAAAAACGTTTTTCAGCATTAACTTAGCTCCACCCTCTCGTGTCATTTTTGACTGCAAGAAGCCAAAATGCCAAACTCGAGGCTTCCAAAGCCAAACTGTAGTCCACAAACCATTACCAATGTGTGACGTCACGGGGACTACGTCCACTTCTTATACAGGTAACGTCATATAGATTTAAGAGGTGAGAATATCACAGTGTTGTGTTTTCAGCCTGTCTCTGAATGTGGAGAAGCAGACCATACTATGGAGCATTGCCTTGTCTGCCCTCTACAACCCTAACCCTTGCAACTCATAAGACCTTGCAGTGTTCAATAAATATGCAAAGGACTGTGTAAAGAAATGGGAAACTGTCACATAACCATCACGCTTCAGTGAAACGAAAAGAAGAAGCTCGTCTCTCTCTAAAATACCTTGGGTTCTGGAAAATTGTGACAAGAATTTTTTTATTATTTTCAGACGTTTGAGACCAAACAGCTAATCAAGTAATAGAGAAAATATTAGGCAGGTTAATCGTTCGTTGCAGCACAAAATGATGTCTGTAATTGATCTAGAGTAAAGGGAAGATATATTGCTGAGGAACTTTTTGCTGAATAGCATGCTAACACAATTAAAGTGACATTATGAGCATGCTGTTGCTAGCATGGTTGTAGATTCTTAAGCCCCAATAAGCGTCACAGACAAAATGCCATCTTCTGAACTCTGGACAAATCAAACCAAACTGCTTGTAGCTACAAATGAGTCATACAGCAATTTGTTACGCTAACTGATTCAAAACAAGATGTTTTTTGTGACCTTTTTGTTAAATGGTAAATGGACTTGTACTTAGCGCTTTTCTAGTCCTCCGACCACTCAAAGCGCTTTAACACTACGTGTCATCATTCACCCATTCACACCCATTAATACACCGATGGCAGGGGCTACCATGCAAAGTGCCACCTGCCTATCAGGACTCTAACTAATCATTCATATCCATTCACCCCACTGGGGAGCAATTTTTGGGGTTAAGTGTCTTGACCGAGGACACATCTACACAGACTGGCGGAGCCGATCCTCTGATTGAAGGACAACCCCGCTCCACCACTGAGCCACAGCTTTTGTATTGGTGTCCAGTCCCACCGGATCGATCGTGGTATCATGTGTTATGTTTGAAAGAACAGGGACATGTATGGGTGAGTCTGCACTGTGTTGAGCTTCCTCTCCAAGACAACAGTCTATTTCTCTCCTCAAGGCCACGCCCACGGCTTCTGTTTTCCTGTCCCACATTGAATCTCTCTGGAAGATTCACTGCTGTATGCCGCCCACATACTTTATGTCACCTGTCAGGATGAAAAACTCCACTTTGCGGCCAACATCTAACCTACTCTCTCTGGTTGACACACAGACGACACATTTCTCAGAGCTCTTTAAAACCCAGTCAGCTCGAGATGAACTTGCAACGGACAGAAACCAGTAAGAGGCACACTAACACCAAGCTGTTAACCCTTCAGCTTGTGTGAACTATTTACTGTTTTACTGCCATAAGTCTTTAACAGACATCTTCAGCTTCTCTGTGGGTGCTACTGTACTCGAGCCCTGTCACTACTATTCCTAGACTCAGACAGTTAGCACATGACACACACCAGCATGAAAATGCAATTTACATTTTTGCTAACTGCAGCTAAGTCTTATTTCTTTAAAAAAAAGAAAAAGTGCCCAATCTGTCTCTGTGAACTGAATACAAACACCTCCATTGACTCTGCCTCTCTACGTCTCACTTTTCCTCCCTCCTCAGCAGATAAAGAGTGATGGAAGTGTTCATTTTATGCAGCTTGGGGATTGATTACAGAGCTGGGGGGCAGAATGGTGTCCCCTCCCCTGAGAGCCTCTGCCATATGAACTATTACGCATTATATTTCGTATTAAACATGCACTCTGTGTCCCTTATGGTGCATTAAAAGTGATATGACAGCTTTTTTGGAGCTAAGCAGCAGTGCACACACACACACACACACACAGGGAAAAGCACACACACCAACATCAAAGCTTGTGTGCACAAAGATACACACATGCTTACCTACATATGTGCAGAGAGTGCAATCATGCACATACACACATATACACACTTCTTCCCAGCTCTCTGTTCTCATTTACTCATCCATCCTACTGTCACTCTCTTCTATTCTCTTCTCTGAATACAAAAGTGAAGCCAAGTCCCCCCGACTCAAAGAGGGAGGACCTAAAGGGAATATTTAATGAAGAAAAAAGAGGAGCTGCAGAATGCTTCATTCAGCACTTATGAGGAACACTTCGGATCTAAGTCCTCGTGGCCGATGCTGGTGAACCCACAGCTTGAAATTTCACCTTCAGTGTCCGTCATCATTCATTAGAGGACGAGCTGCTTCATGAGCCGGCACTTTGAGACGCTGAATATTTAATGCTTTGTTTGGTTAAGATGCAACTTCACTTTGGTTCTGATCTGCTCCGACAATGACTTCAGTATTGGAAAAAAGATAAGGGGGAGGAATGTGACGCCCTCTGCTGTGCAGTCTGAGAAACTCACGGTGAAGAAGAAAAGACTGAGATTTGGTAAAAAAAAATGCAAAGTTTAAAAAAACATAAAATATCATCCATGGCATTCAAGACCTTTCAAATAATAATCAGTGAAGTTAAAATGTAGGACAGTGGAGTCATCTTTTGTAAGTTGTTGTCAATGAACAGAAGCATTTTTTCCCTTTCAGAAATGAGCTCATCTTGTCAAGCTGGTAAACGGGCAGGAAGGATGAGCATGATTAAGAATGCATGTAGTACTTTGAAGACTGAGAGGAGTCTGCACATTTGAAGTTTCTCGTTTGTTTCCTCCTGAAGATGGTTTGTTTATGGTTACCAAAGAACCTCCAGGGACAGATGTGGAAAAGTTGAAGCAGATTTTTTTGTTATTTGTGGTAAAACATACAAACAATGGAATGCAATACAGGTCATGTGCTGGATTTAGACGAATACCAGGTAGCTGGAGGCTGAAGAAAAGAAGGGATTCATTTGTATTTTCTGTGTTTTGCTTTGGATTTTCAGCCAAAGACGGTTTTGTTTATTGATCTCTGCCCTCAGGTGGTAAATGTTAAATGAGCTTGCATTTATATGGAGCATTTCTAGTCTTCAGGTCAATCAGAGCGCTGTACACATGTCAACATTTACTCATTCACTCACACATTCATGCGCTGATGGCAGATGCACGGTGCCACCTGTCCATCAGGATCTAAACTAATACATATTCACACCGATGGCACAGCCTTTGGGAGCCATATGGGGTTCAGAGTCTTGCTCAAGGACACTTCAACATGCAGACTTGAGGAGCTGGGGATCGAACCGGTCTATGTCTGAGCCACGGCCGCGTATCACATACCCAGCCCAACACAGAGCACACTGTTCTGCAGCCCAACAGGGTGGACCTGTATGCCAGAGGGAGGCACCGGAGGGCAACCTGCATGGAAAGGATAAGTGAAATCATGCAGGCTGGTGTACAGCCTGGCATGGCTTGACAGGAAGTTTACAGGGTTTTTCAGAGTCCACGAGAATCCGAAGAGAAGTTTAGGACAGAGCAGAAAGTGACAGAAAGTCAGAGACGAACAAAGAGAAAAAGGAGGCGATGAAAGGGATTTGGTCCAATCAGCCTGCAGCTATAGAGGTCTGTGAGCTCCAGCCTGAGATGTCTTTGAAATAGAAGCAAACAAATCAGACATGCAGCCATAGCGTGGTTGTGTTTTAAGATTATTTACTAGATTCTTTAGCTTTAATATATATTTTTAGTGTCTCAATGAGATTGACTGGAATCACAGCGGATAAATGGATCCGCTACGATGAATCAGGAAGCAAAAATATAAATTTAGGGTCTAAAATAGAACAACCCTATTAAGATCTTTTCAACATGAATGTTGAAATTGAAATTTGGGATGAAACAAAAAATAACAATTACTCAACAGTACAGTAGAAAACATGGCATTAAGATTTACAGTTTGTTGTACACTTTTGCCAATACACAACCTACTTGATGTTAAAAAGTGCACACAACATTTTACATGATACCTACCAAGCCACGTCTTTACCTTTTTATATTGTCCAGTACATTACGTACAAACATTTGCAAACTAACAAAGTGTGCTACACATTTTAAGTTCCTCGAGATGTTCCATTCCTAACCCCTCTAACTGAAATACAGACTTTTTATACATTAGTCCTGGCCCCTTGCTTCACCTCCTCTCAAATCATTTTGACTTTCTCTTTAAACGTTTGGATAATGAGTCATTTGTGCTGTTTTAAAATCTACACGTCTCTGAGTTTTAGGGACTTCAATTAACAGTGGGTGGTATGCAGCACATATGTTGTATGAATTTCAAAGAGGAAACACGATAAGTAAGATCAGAATCAAGTACAAGTCGTTGACTTTTAGTGAGCTAACCCATCAGGTTAGAGTATGTGATTTTCTGTCTAATAATCTGTATTTTCTCAGTGCTACCAGCAGAGGTCAATGCTGCTCTGATAGTCATTCTACACATATCTAAATACTGTGAGCATTCCTGTATTTGCATTGTCTTTCAGTCCACTGAATAAACAAAACGTCTGTATTTTCTCAGTAGTTTTCATGGAGCTCCTGTTGCTACTGGAGAAGTGAATATATTAACGTTGCTCTTACAAGTTTCCTAAAATGCAGACTGTTAAAGGTCACAGTGAAGTGTAGAAAAGGCTGACAGGCCCTTCAGCTACAGAAAGTACTGGCTCTATTTAACCTTTAATGTCGGCATCTAATTGAAGAAAGAAAATTGGTGGCTGTGCTAGTGAGTGAATGGATGGATGAATGGATCTATATCTTGAAATTTACAGTCATTGACATATCTTATTCTAATTAATCCTACATGAATTTTGAAGGTACGGGTCATATTTAATATTTGGAGTTTAAGTGTTGTACCTTGGCCTTTATGGAGGTTGATTCTTTGTATTTTTGCTTACAGTACCTAAAGGGAGCAACTTCTGTTCTCTCTCAGAAGTAAATACAAGAAACACTTCTTGTCGAGGAGCACACTGTCACATGGGAAGTGTGAGTGGTTGACCCCACTATTAACTCAAATATCGCCCCATTCACCTGTATTTGCATGTGTGACCATGTCCTAATGTTGAAAGAGGTATAACAGCAGTATTTTTTGTAGTACTATTAGTATTTCAAAAAAAACTGAGAGGAAAGAGAAAGGGTTAAAGGGGCACTCTGCTAATTTAACACACACGGATCATTTTACTCTTCAAGAAAAGGACCTCACAGCCTGTAGGAGTGTAAGAGGGTCTAATGAAAGATGCTAACAAGTTGCATCATGGAAGGTGTAGGATGTAAGGAAACTCATGTCTTGGCCTCTTCTGTTTCTGTTTTGACCATTGTTTGTTTTAAACATCTGTCTCTCACTGCAGTACTAAATCAATGAAGGGGACATTGTCAAGCCAGATAAATCAAAGTCCTTTAAGAAGCTCCTGCACATTCTCCTAACTTTCATACACACATTAGAGATGCAGCGTTTGTGTTATCTGACCTTCATCAGGAAGGTCTGGAAAATTGCGGTATAGAACAACTAAATATCCATCTTGCATCTGTGTGGGGGTATTAGTGCAGTGTGTGTGTGTGTGTGTGTGTGTGTGTGTGTGTGTGTGTGCTTCTAAGTGCTGTTGGGCAAGCGTGTATTTAGTTTCTTAGTGTGTGATAGAGAAAGACTTTCTGTTCATGCTTACTGCTGCTTCCTGTTTTGACTATGAATTTTCTTCTAAGTAGTAATTTCTTACGCAACCAAACCTCAGCAGCAGCTCCTTCATTACATATGTGTGTGTGTGTGCGCGCGTGTATGTGCGTGTGTGTGTGTGATACCTTGTGGGCAATTCTACCCACTGTGACGGAATGCTTGAACCATCCTCAAACATGTGTGTGATGTCTTTTTGCGTCTAATGTATGTGTGTGACTGACTTCTATGATGTTTCCCATCCCTCTGGACAAAATGTCAATTGGCTCAAAGAGCAGTATATTGTAAGTGTGTGTGATTTTTGTGTGTGCCTCCAGGCTGCTGCTGTGCTGCATACAGTTTCTGAAGCTTTGTGTGTATTCCCTTGCACTGCTTCAACAATAAAAGCACCAGAATGATTAAAGAATACACTCTAATGCATGGACACACAAAAAAACACAGGACCCCTACATACAGGCCCCGAACCATGGATGCACACGCACACACGCCAAATAACAACTAATGAATCACAACAGTAAAACCCTTCCCTTCCTCTCAGCATCGTGTGTGTGTGCAGCTTCTTTTCCCCCCGATGCCACACCGACATGTTTTATACCTCACATTCATCACACACACACACAGTCTGTCCTATATCAACTTTATCTCTCCTCTCTGTTAGCTGCTTCCTCCCTTCATCCCTGTCTCCTTCGGTGCCCTCTCTGGAGAACACACTGAACAGAACGGGGTCAACTGCAGACAAGAGCAGATGCAGAGGAGACAAGATTGATGCAAATGTACGGCCTTGCCTGCTGCAATAAAACTGTTCACAACACACTTGGGTTTACTTTTGGAGCTTGCAACTGTACAAGAACTTACACACATAAACACAAATTTGCGCTTAAACACAAAGCAATAAAGACACATTCAAGCACTTACCACCTTTGATGAGAGTCCCAGTGACCAGTTTGTGCAGGGACAAAGCAAACTTGACAAGTCCCTGTTTGCAGCGCTTGGCACAACCCGCCATGCTGGAAGCGACCTGGGACACGGCGGACAGGACAGGGGTTTCCAGGTCTAAAGCAGCAAGTCAAAGTGGCAATCAATACTACTTCTTCTGGTGGAGTGTATGAATCCAACAGAGTGAAAGAGTCAGAGGAGAGAGAGAGCTCCTCTTATAGCGTCGCCTTTCGTCCTGCTGAGCTGGAGGGAGACAAAAAAAAAAAAGAAACGGTGCTCTTCCCTTGCTTTCCCCTCCTCCACCTTCCCCATCCCACCTCTGAATGAGTCCAAATTAGTGACTGCTTGACAGAAAGGTAGTGAGTAAGAGAGAGGGGAAGTGTGTTAGAGAAATAAACCCAGTGTCCAAGTAAGACAACTAAAGCTTGTTAGAGGTGCTCTTACAATCCAAGTTTCCAAGAAACTTCCTTCCAATCTGCAGGCAGCCTCTGGGGTGGCAGCGATGAAGAAGTCTCATGAGCTTTTCTTGGTTTTCTCCCTCCTCTTCTTCTTTTCTTCCCTCCTGCTCATCAAATGCATCGTCCCTTTTAAGTGGGGAAGCAGAAATCCACCTTCAGCACCAGTGACAATAGACAGCTCCCCACGATGCAGAGCAAACACACTGAGCTCGCTCTTTTTCTCTCTCTAGGCACACACACACACACACACACACACACACACACACACTCCTCCTTCAACCCCTCCCACAGCCCTTATACAGTAACACATACATACTCCTCATCGGCTGAAAAAAAATTACATTCAAGAATGATTTATTTTCAAAATGGGACCACCGTCATTAAAAATAGGATATACTTGTTAATGTAGATATTAAGGTAGTCAATGTGTCTTTTGTTTGCTATTTGTGCCCTTTTTGTATTTTATATCTTTTTAATTTACCTGTTTAAGGGAAACGACAAACAAGGGACGGAACATTAGACACTTAAAATACAAATACGAGCTGATTGCTGCATAAATAAACATTTTAAAAATCATCATTGGTATTGTATCATATACATTTTTAAAGAATATGAACAGCAAGGTTATTAAATGTAGGTGAAGTATTCGAAACCTTAACTTAAACATAACCTTGAATTATTAATAGTTTCAGTGGTTCAGTGGGCAGACTTGAAATGAAAAAGGCACAAAAAAAGTTATTAATAAAATCAATTAATAGACTTTATATTAATTCTATATTGTATTTGTTGTATAAATAAGGAACTAGTGAATCAGTGATCATGTAGAACTGTTCTATAATAATATTGTGTGTGAGTATGATGAAGGATTTGTTTTAATAGGAGCCCGTATTTTTCATGTATTTTGTATCCTGGCAGTGTTATACTTTGACTTGTCATGTTATGAATGTAATGGACTCATAACTGAGTTTGTGCTGAAACAAGGATACCATGCGTGTGGATTAAGGACAGTTTACAAGGCAATAACAATTGATCTTATTTTAAAGATCATCACATATTTTGCATGTCAAGTTTTAATCTGTAAAGGAACTGGTCACTGTAAGAGTCAACGGTTGCACAAAATGGAGACACTGAACAACAGATACCCCAGAATTATCCAGTACTCGAGTAAATGTATTAAGTTACTCTCTGCCACGGCAGTACTTCTACAACAATACAACACCTAATGTTAATATATATATTGGTATGTATCTAAAGATCCTCTTCTTTATTGATTCCTTTCACCCGAATCTTAACTCATCAACATACCTCCAGCCAGACAGCAGGACTGCCAATTTATTAATCTTGTGAGGCATCACATGCTGCTGACTTTCAACAGGCCTCTAATCCATCCTGACCCAGCTTTACACACTATCATCATCACCTGAAACTAAGTGAGAGAGAAATAGAGAGACTAAAAGAGATGAGAAGAACTAGAAGAAAGGAACTGAAAGAGGAGTAAAGGAGCAGAGAAGAAAGCAGGAAGAGGATGCAGAGACATAATCCTATAACGTCCTTCTGGGCTATATTTAGTCCACATCACATATACTGGACTAAGGGCTAGCATGCAACAGGGGGGAAAAAACGCAATAACGGCAAAGTTAAGAGGAGAAATGAAGAAATAGATGTAAACAGACAACGGGTGGTAGAGAGAGGCAAGCAATGAAACAATAAAAATGCAAATAAAAGGCATAACAAACAGAAGAAGTAGAGAGAATTGATGGAGGAGAAAGGGAATGAGCTGGGGGATATAAAAGTCCCATACGATCTCAGGGTTGTTGCTGTCAAACCGGGACTGCCATCAATACTTGTCCACAGACTCTGAAGTTCCACACTTCATGAAAGCAGAGGAAGGAGGGATAAAGAAAACAAGAAGAAGGAAAAGAGGATAGGTGGGGGGAAATAAAAGCAAGTCAAACGGTTGAGCGGAGGAAAAGACGGGGGATTGTTTTCTGAGGCGCCACCGCTGTTTTGGCTGTCAAGCGTGAAGGAAATTACTGTGCGGCGGAATTTGCATAAACATGCTTCTCTATTACGGCCCCATTGTTCATGATTAATGAGATTAGGGTTGCCTTTGCACACAGATTCAAGGATGTAATAGCAACTAATTGCTTGTCTCTTCCCAAATTAGAAGTTGCGCTGTTTGATGTTCGTTTCAATGTGGATTTGCGCAAAGTGATGAAGCTCTTGGTTTCTCTTCCTGGTAGGAGGTGGAGAGCACCTGATGGGCACTGTAGATGATAGAGATGTGGAGAAAATTGAAAGAGAACTAGAGTGGAGGAGAGAAGAAACAAGAGGGGCTGCAATAAAGCTCTTCAAATTGAACTGAAAAAGGAGGCAAAGAAAAGAGAGAAAAAAGTCAGTAATATAAACTACTTGAGTGGGAAAATTGTAAAGATGAAAAGAGAATGTGAGGATTGTAGAAAAGAGACTGAATTGAAATTGAGAGCTTAAGATGTATAAAGGTGGGGGGGGGGGAGAACCGAGATTGGCTTAAAGTGGTGAAAGTAATATAGAAAGTGTAAAGAAGAAGAGATGGAGAGAAGAGAAAAGAGAGGACAAAGAGAGAAAAAGAGAGAGGGGGTGGCAGAAAAATGAGCGAGGAGAGAGAGGAGATTGCTTTGAACACAGTAGATCTGTCAGAATTAAATCACAGGCGGGCCAGCTGTAAGCTCTGATAATGGTTTGCCTCTAAATATAACAGGCACTGAGATGGACTGATATGGCTCCAACAACAGACTCAGAGATGGTGAGAACAAAGGAGGCATCTCAACACTGTGAAGAGAAAGAACGAATACAAAATTCCAAATCTGTAAACATACAAAAAGCATAAGCGCTCAGCAGTTGGTCATTTCCTTGTGATGCCATTTTTAGTGTCATAATGTGTTTGCATAATATGACACTACCCATGTAAGTTCAAGCACTTACATACACCACACATAACCCGTGTAATGACACACAAACACTACAACAGTACTGCTGTATGACTACTCAACACACCAAAACAAAACCTTCCAGCATCAAGACCCATCTGTCCAGACACAGAGGCGAGAGAAACCCACTTTTAGAGCTCGTCCCTGGGTGTGAGCAGCAAACGTTGCCCTGGAGGTCTAGAAGTCCACTCCAGACCTCCACTCCACTTAGGCTCGGGATGCTCAGGATGTCAGTGGCAGCGATGGAGTGACAACGTCCCCTCTGGGGGAAATTAAAACCTCAACACACCATTGCCTCCTCCACCGCCTCCCTTTGAGACAACCTGCTGATAGCAACTGTCTATCTCACACACACACACACACACGCACACACACACACACACACACACACACACTCCTGCAAGAAGAAGATATGCCCTGCAGTGCTGATACTCGTTCAGCCACATATGCAAAGGACACACACACACACACACACACACACACACACACACACACACACAAAGAAAGCTCTAGAAGTGTCTTCAAACGTCACAACAGAATATCCTCTCAGGAAGCTTGAGCCCAGCTGTGACTGACGTCCCCCCCTGACAAGTCATGCATGCACACTTCCTTTTAACTACAGCTCCTGCTTTCCTCCCATCTCTCCTCCATCACTCCCTACTGCAACTCCCATGTTGGCCTACATGGGAAGAGTCAGAGCTGAGCTATGGCATCATTAACATCATGGAAAATGTATGAACATAGATGTCATTAAGTCATGCAAACAAGACCTGAAGCGCACATACTACTGTCCTGAGGCATCATATATGTTGGAGTGTGTGTTAATTAATAATGAAGGTGGGTGTAATGAGAGTCCTGTGGGTCCATCTGAGCTTCTCTCAGGCTGATTCGGGGGCCGGTTGTGCTTATTGTAGCTCCTTTAGTTGGTGCAGTACAGGGCTACAGTAGACCTCCGGTTCATCTAAATCTTGAGTCAAACCTAACGGGTGTATGACAGGTGAAAAAGATCCAACATGCAATAGAGCCAAAAATGCACCCTATTCTCATACATGTATTGCAGACCCATTTTTTTGTATAGATGTACTTATATTAAGTACTAATAAGGCTGGAACGAACTTCAGTATATAGAGAAATGTTTTGCTTGCATTGACCCAGTTAAAAAGATACTAAACCACAAATTAGATAATAATGAATTGTACAATATACAGTATGTTCAATATAATTACAATTCTGGAGGAGATACACTAGAGCTTGCATTGATACTGAATATGTGGTTAATCTACGATGTTCAGTGATGAGAGGAGTAGTATTATTAGCAAAATGTACGTATGAGCGTTATGAGTACTCATAACACAGACAAATGCCCCCTGTAAAGTCTATATGTTGTATTATTGGATTATTATTTCTGTAACATGTTAGTGTTGTAATTGGTCAAGGAAGAGATCTTTTTAACTCATGTAGTTACATCTATAACAGTGCATCATATTTTCTAATATAGTTTTTATGTAGAATCTTAATCTGTAAAGTCAAGCTGTGAAATAAATACGGTGGCGTATAAAGTGCAATAATTTATTCTGAATTGTGGAGCTATAAGTATAGTGACATGAAGTGGAATGGTCGTGCAAGTATCTTTTAAATGTGTCCTTCACTTGAGGACCTACTTTCCACCACTGCAAACAATGGCATGGCGTCTGTACAAAAGGGAAAAGAAATTTAATACTCATCTGTAGTGCGAGACGTTTTTGTTGTGCGTGTGTGATGCTCATGCAAAGGTTACAGTGAGTAAGCGGAGCAGAGGAAACTGTTAAAAGACGAGGAATGTTTTGTGCTCACAGTACGAAGTGCTACACCTACGTATATCCCTCCACTCAAACACACTCCCTCCTCCACCTGGTACTCTTTCTGCTGAGCGCGAGCGATGACGCTCTCAGAGGAGTTCCCAAAGCTGCTGAGAGCAGCATGTGATTATTAGGCTCCATTTTTTTTAAGCTGCTGATGCTTCTTCTTCTCTCAGTTCTTGGGGCTGTGCCTGGTTTGTATTGAATGAGAGCGCAGACACTAAGATGTTTTAGGCTACCTGAGCACGTCTTTGTAAGCATCATCCAACCCTCTAAATCTCTGGTGAAAGCACCTGTCAGATATAGACACTGAGTTACACACGCACACAAAGTACTTCCCACAAAGTCATCCATGAATGCCTGCTATCTAGTGGTCATTGATGGGAAGTGTTTAGGTTGAATAAACAGTCAAATGTAAGAGTTTTATAATTCATTATATACACAGAGTTTAATTAGACAAATGTATTGTAACTGTCATATGTAAACCATGTATCTCCAAGAGCAGAAAAGTATTTTCAGCTTTGTGACAAAATATTTGTCTCGTAATCAAATCGTTTTTTAATGTTTTCTTTAGCTCTTAAAGAAACATTTTTGAATCCCCAAATTTGGAGACATGTTTTCTGGACAGGGTCGCATT